AATTCAGCATGTTAGGCAAGAGCATCAATCAATCTATACTATAATATCAGACATGAGAGACCAGTCCATTTTTTCTTGTAAAGTGCATGTTGTTTCAGGTCCTCTAAATTGCTCATGTCTGCCTCAGTTTCCTGAATCTTGTTGATTGGAAGATATTCTTGGTTCTGCTTAGTTGATAAGCACCTTGGTTTCAGTTTCAATTCCTCTGTTGATTATTCCAGTTTCGATCTGGTTGAACCTTCTTGAAGAATTTGTTATTCTTTTGGTCATGGGGCGTAATTGTCTCTGCTTTTCGAATTTCCATCACTCTTCCTTACTCAATGTTTCAGCCATCGGATGTTTTGATACAAGTCAAACACAACCGTCACAAAGATTCATGTGAAATCATGCTGAATAGTAGAAGTATCTTGATTGTAAGCGTTGCACTGAAATGCAAACATGAAAAATGACACATAATTTAGAATCCAATATAAATCTAAGCGTGCGCACACTTGGTTCAATTTCCATTCTTTTGTTAAGTCCACTGGATTCCTGGCGAGCCCGTGCGCAGCATGCTGATTCTGAATTTTAGCATGCTCTTGAAGTGTAGGATGATTGGTTTTGATGTCTCTGTTGTTTGTGCGCGTGCAGGTGCCAAAGGCGTCTCAGGTGGAGGCGAAGGAGGTTCTTCTAATTCCTAAGGCACCAGACTGGACATTCCTATGTTGACTACCATTTATGGTCAATAAAGTTGTCCGTGTTTGTTTTTGATTGCTCAACTAAATATCTGAAGCCAAATGATGTATGCATTCATGTTTCTCCTCTAAGGCAGAAAGACTGGACATTCCTATGGTGAGTATACCATTCATGCTCAATATAGTTGTCTGTATTTGTTTTCGATTGCTCACCTGAATATCTGAAGCCAAATGTTTTTCTATCATTGGCTATATCAGATAATCCCAATAGTCCCTAATCTTGCAAATCATGTTTTTTTGTTTAAGTTTATCTTTCTCTTGAGATAATCTAAAGAAATTTAAGTTGTTTCCATTGGCAAAGAGCAACATAAACTATTGTTACAAGTCTATCATATATTTCTGAAATTTTAAAAGATATTCATTGGCATGCATTTTAAATGATGATTATGGTATGTCTCAGTATGTCGTGTTATTTCACTGCTGGGGGTTTGCACGTATTCTGATTTCTAAACAAATCTCAATTTCTCAATTTCTATGCGGAAACAATAATTATCCAGAAGTAGCCTAATTATATGTATTTGTGTTCGCACATATACATCGTAGTTTCTATGCTAAGGGGTATTTATATGAACTTGGTTCAGGGCCAACAATACCAGCTGTAGTGCTGAAACAAGCACGATTCCATCATTTGTTACCGGTTCCTTTTGCTCGATAGCAGGCTCGTTTTCTTGGATGTGGTATAATTATATGCCGACATATATTGACAGGTGTATAATGTAGTATATATTCCTAATTCCTCCAATGTCTTAATAGCATGAAGAATGTAGCACTTCAGGTCCTCATCAAGTAAGGTTTCCATTTAAGCATGGTGTCCATGCATGCTATTGTTAACTTTGCTGACAATGGCAGCTTAGTGATCACCGTGTTTCTTAAATTTAATTTTCACCTCCGTGTAATGTATCATAGTACTATGCACAAAGATACTTCAACACTAAAGCTCGCACCTAACTTGCTCGGGTCTCGGCTCATGATTCTTTCAACTTTCATGTAGTGCTGCTGAAATATTATGTAACAGTCAAATTTGATGATATTTTGAATGGGCACAACTGTGCCGGTAGAGGTTGACAGTTAATGAATTTTGTGATAATCTTCGGTTATTCTGTTATATATAGCACTTTGCTGGTTATATGGTTCACATTCTCTGAGCCAATTCACAATGACCATTCCTGATTTGGGCCTTATGTTTTTAAATCATTTTGTAACATTTTGGTTGATTTTTTATGCTGCTCCTTAATTTTTTTCATTGACTGGTGTTGAACTAAATGAGTGTTGCCATTACAGGATGCCCAGTACAAACGAAGATGGGTTCCCGATTGTTCCTAGATATTTCAGAGCAACTAGAGTGGTCTTACCTGACAAGCTCCAATGTTGTGCTGAAGTATTTTGAACAAGCTTGTCCTTTGCCTTATGCTGGAACAAGGCACCTTCTATTCCCCATGGGCACCAAGAATGCGAAGACATTGACGATTCGAGCAAATGTAGGTTCAGGCTTCAAGATTGAGCCGAGCGCCCTACCAGCAGATCGGGATAATGCATATCAGCGATTGGATATTTCTGGCCCTACAGTTAACCCTTTTGTTTTTTCCTGTATGGTGAGGGCGAGATAAAAGATATGCTTTCTGTTTGTGCTGAGCATGGAGCTTGGGTAGTGATAGACACCTTCTCTGGTCTGGAGTTCCACAACAGAGATGGCTGGATTTTGCGGAACGGGTAATTTTTTTATTATAGCATTTGCTTATATGACCTTTCCTTGGTCGAACATATTTCACAAGTAATTTATTTTCTTCAAAAAGGATGATATTTTCACAAGCCCAAGTCGACATATTTCACAAGTACTTTTTTTTCTTCGAAAAGGAGGATATTTTCACAAGCCCAAGCCGACCACATGGCACTTTGAAATGCACTTATAGGAAGCTGTTGGTTCTGAAGAACAAGAGGGATCAACATTTCTCTAATCTCATCATGCCAACAAACTGACGAAGGTTAGTCCCTGACATACCTATCCTTTTTGTTGTCTTTCTCTGGTTTCGTGCGATGAACAGACACTCGAGAGCTGTGGTTGGGATGTCGCCAGGTACCACTGTGGTATTTAGATGCTGGCGAAACCGACGGCGTACATCGGCAAATCGTTCAGGGTGGATGATTTTGAAGGCGAGCTCGACGGCTGCAATATCAGGGAAGCCCTACTGAACTACTGCAGGTTCAGCTTACCGTGTAGTATTTTCTTTACAACAAGGCCTCACACGAGCAAAACTGTCATCTTGTTGTTTAGTTTTGGCCCGGGACTGCAATTTTTCCCCTTATTGCATCCCTTAGTGCATAAAATAAAATATATAATGTGCATAAAAGCTGAAAACAACCATTACGATCATAGTAGGCGAACTGAAATTGTAGGGATATAAAGCAGCACCTGAACATACAAAAGCTGGCCACAACTCTGTCTTCAATTCCATCTTGTTTCCAGATTTCAGGAGTAGATCATCACCACCATCACGACGATCAGGCTCTTTGTCAGTGCAAATAACAGACTAACACCACAAGGACTTCATTAACCTTAGCCACTTCTTATGGGTACATGAGAACTAAAAAAATTCATCTGTTAAAATTTGTTTTTGTGACTGTTTGGACTAATTCATGTGCATAATTTATATTTTCAATTAGACTGATTTATTGTAGTTTTATCAATGAAGTATATTAAGATGTGGGCATTATATCGAAAGTTTTGTTCTACACGCGAGGTCATGTGAGCTCGGGTGAACAGTAAAATAAATAAAAAAATGGAAAAACAATTCAAAAAATGTGATTTCTTTTTGTATGAGACACAGAAAAAATGTTTATTGGCTTGCAAAATTTCAATACTATCTTTCTTGACTGATTGTTTGTGGTCTGCCATGAGCCCACGACGTACCCATCTGCATCTGCCTCGCCTTGAGGCCACAGCAGCACCCCTGCCCTTCTGCTCCTGCTGGCGACCGCAACCCTCTGGCGGCAGCGACACCGCTCTCGTGTGCTGGCCTTGCTGTCTCATCTCCTCTCGCTCTCATGTTTGAGTCTGATGTTAGCGTTATGTGTGTGTGGATGGATATGATGCTACCACGGTGTGTGTACAAATCTATTTTTGGTTTATTTTTCTTTGGAGTATTGCTGTTGGAGATGAGCTTAAGAGGCGAAAGAGTAAAGATCTGGTAAGCTGTTTGTATTGCTTCAGGAGAATCTTTTATCACTGTTTTTGGGACTGTATTTATGTCAAAGAGGCATGTAGGGAGCTGGAACAAATTTGTTACTTCTCATGGCCACTTTTTTGAACATGATTATTGAGCTTGACTATGCGGAGGTAGTAAAAAAATATCAGTGTGATGGGCTTGAGAGATATCATGTAATCCCTTTTATTGAGGAAATTAAGGAGATCTGTGCGAGTAATATTCAGGTGGAGTTCGTTTGATGCAGAGTAGCAAATATGTGTGCTCATCTTTTAGCTAGAGCTGGTGTAAATGTTGCTGAGTGCGAGCAGTAGACGGACTCTACTCCGTCAATGCTGGAGCATTCATATCCCAATGACGCAAGCTGACAACACCCCGCTTGTGTTGATAACGGTTTCTCACTGCGGTTGCAATGCGATGCGTACCAGGTGCATGGTGTAGCTTGTGAAGGGCGGCCCTCACATCCAGCTCAAGGAGAATAGATTTTTCAGTTTCAAACATTTCCTTCCAATGACATGTGTCTCGTGTGATGGTCTTTTTTTTGCGAGGAACTTGGAATTGACAAGTGGGGGTTTTGAGCCGTACTTCTTGGATTGATGGTGTGAGTTTTTTTTTATTGAATTAGAGGTGTGTTTTTTTTCTCCCGCTGCAATGCACGGGCATTTTTACTAGTGCTAAGAAACTAGAGTCTGAGAGCAATTTCAACGTACGCTCGTGTGACAGATAAATTATGATATCTTAATCTGAAATGGTCACGAGGTTACGTAAAAGACGGTGACGAATTACCACTAGTTTAAGTGATCGGCCAATCGTGTGAGAAGAAGTAAGAACAAAATGCTTGTTGTTATCCGATCTTCTTGCTTGGCATCTTGACCACTAGCTCTGAATCTCTAAGTCAATCCCCGACTTTTGGTAGGAGTACGAGCAAATTATGAAGATCCGGAACCAGTGTACGCTTTAGTTTAATCCGGAGGAGTGTACTTAAGGACAAGCTCGGCGTTTATCCCGTACAGCATGCTACAGTTGCAGCTAAACTGAGTCACAGTCAGAACTGGGAGCTGGAACAATGGAGCTCATCACCACCGCCTGGTCATCCTTTCCCCTGCTCATCGCGCTCTCCCTCGCCCTCGCCGCCTCGGCCCTCTACTTGCTGCACGGCCGTCACGGGGGGCCGAAGAAGGGGACAGGCAAGGCTCTCCCTCCCGGCCCGCCGGGGCTGCTCTTCCTGGGCAGGTTCCTGGCGCTCCGGCGATCCGTCTTCCACCTCGGCCCGATCCTCCGCGACCTGCACGCGCGCTACGGCCCCGTCGTCTCCGTCCGCCTCTCCCGCACGCTCGTCTTCGTCGCCGACCGCCGCCTCGCGCACCGCGTGCTCGTCCAGGGCGGCGCCACCTTCGCCGACCGCCCGCCGCTCTCCGACCCCGGGCTGCTCTTCACCTCCGGCGCCCGCGACATCAGCACCTCGCCCTACGGCGCCTACTGGCGCATGGTCCGCCGCAACCTCGCCGCCGAGGCCCTGCACCCGGCCCGCGTCGCGCTCTACGCGCCGGCGAGGCGGCGCGCGCGGGACTCGCTCGTCCGCGACCTCCTCCGCGCGCGCGGCGCTGGCGATGACGTCGCGGTGAGGCCGGCGTTCCGGCGCGCCATGTTCGAGCTGCTCGAGGAGGTCCAGGAGCTGCAGCTGCGGATCCTGCGCTCCATCACCAGCTTCCCCATCTTCTCCTTCTTCCCGGTGCTCACCAAGCGGCTCTTCCGGCGGCGGTGGGACGGGTACGTGGCCGTGCGCCGCAGGCAGGACGAGATCTTCCTCCCGCTGATCCGCGCCAGACGAGAGCGGGACGCTGACGGCCCTCCGTGCTACGCCGACTCCCTCCTCGCGCTGCGCGTGGCCGAGGAGGGCGGCCGCCCGCTCACGGACGCCGAGGCGGTCTGCCTCTGCTCCGAGTTTTTGAACGGCGGCACCGACACAACGGTCACCTCACTAGAGTGGATCATGGCGGAGCTGGTGAATCGCCCCGACATGCAATCTGTTGGATAAACTCATCGCTGTTTCCTTGTTCAGAATAATATGGTGCATGGCCGATGTGACATCTGCATGCACGTAGCTAGTATACTGGGAGTGCTTGTAGCACGTCCAGGTTGTTTTTTATTTGCTCATTTCTTTGTTTTAGTCCTCCGGTTAGTAAGGCACACGGATACAGTCGTGGGATGGCATGGCATCACGCAAATCGTGGGCAAGCTGACCGGAGGTTTGTTAGCTGAGATCCATTGTAATCGAGCTACACTTTAAAAGGAATAACTGAAAGACTCGCATAGGTTCAGGCGAGGCAAATATACTACTGTCTCCCGTTCGTCCTCGCTCGTTCTTCTCTCTCTCCGGCGATCTAACTCGCCACTCCGGCAACTACAATTGGCATCAGAGCCGTGGTGTTCGATCCACTCTCCGGTGGCCGGCGGTGTCTGATCCGCAGCGTACCATGTCGGATAGCGAGGAGGAGAAGAAGAACAAGGGCGGCGGCAAGTCGTCGCCGAGGACGCCTTCATCCAAGGCGCCGCTCGCTCGCCTCACCGGCGACGGCAGCGGCGAGTACCGCGTGGTGGAGCGCGTCGTGCGAGAGGAGTCAGGGGCGTCGATGATGCTCACCCGCACCAATTACCAGGAGTGGGCACTTGTGATGCAGGTCAAGCTACAAGTCGCCCGCGTCTGGACCGCGGTGATCGAAGACGGCGCCGATGAGAACGACGACCGGTGCGCGCTGCAGATTATACTCTCCGGCGTGCCGCCGGAGATGCTGCGGATGCTGGCCGCGAAGGACTCGGCGAAGAAGGCGTGGGATACAATCAAGACGCTCCGCATGGGGAGCGAGCGGGCTCGCGAGGCCAAGGCGTAGGTGCGTCGCCGCGAGTTCGAGGATTTGCGCTTCAAAGACGGCGAGTCCGTCGAGGACTTCGGGCTGCGACTCGCCGGCCTCGTCTCCGACCTGGAGCTGTATGGCGATCCCGTGATGGAGCACAAGGCGGTCCAGAAGTTCCTCCGCGTGGTGCCGCGGAAGTATCGTCAGATGGCGATGGCAATCGAGAGCCTCGTCGATCTGAAGACGATGACCATCGAGGAGCTCGTCGGGCGTTTCTCGGCATGTGAAGATCATTATGATCTCGACGACGCGGGGCAGTCCAGCGGTCGCCTGCTCTTCACACGTGAGGAGTGGCTCGCCCACGAGCGACAGCTAGGTGGGGGCGGCTCATCGTCCGTTTGAGGCGGCGGCAAGAACAAGTCGTCGGGCAAGCCCAAACCTCACGGCGGTGGTGGCAGACCTGCGCCGGGCAGCGGCGGCACGGGCACATCCGGCGGCTCGGGCGGCAAGAAAAAGGGCAAGTGCCACTACTGCAATAAGCCAGGTCATTGGAAGAAAGAGTGCTATACCAGGATCAAGGCAGAAGAGGAACGTGCGAAACAGGGTCAAGCACATCTAGTTCGTGAAGGCGACGAGCACCATGAGGGGCTTATGATGGCCGCAGTCACCACCTGTGTCACCACCAGCATAGTCGCGCCCCAGGTGGTTCATCTGAATGAAGAGAAGGTGTATCCAGAGATCTCATCTCCGGGGCTGTGGTATTTCGATACAGGGGCTACTAGCCACATGACTGGTGACAGAGCTATGTTCAGTACTCTTGACGAATCAGTGCAGGGCACTGTTAAGTTTGGAGATGGGTCACACGTCACAATCCAAGGGAGGGGTTCAGTCATCTTCAAGGGTCAGAGCGGCAACCAACGTGCAATGTCTGAAGTTTACTACATCCCGAGCCTTCACAGCAATATAATCTCTCTTGGCCAGCTAGATGAGGGGGGGGGGTGGTGCAGGATTCAGATACATGAGGGACTGATGACCATTCATGACACAACAGGGCACTTGATGGCTCGTACTCGACGGTCAGTGAGCCGCCTCTACACTGCAGTTCTGCCCATCGCTGTACCAACCTGTTTACTGACCAAAACTGATGATGAAACCTGGCGCTGGCATGCTCGGATGGGGCACCTACACTTCAGAGCTCTCCGAGCTATGTCATCCAAGGGCATGGTGAAGGGAATGCCGTTCATTGACAGAGTTGACGAGTTCTGTGACTGTTGTGCTTTGGGCAAACAGCATCGCACCCCTTTCCCTCAAGTTGCTGCATACCGAGCTGATCAGGGGCTGGAGTTAGTCCATACAGATTTGTGTGGTCCTATAAACCCACCAACGCTCGGAGGTAACAAGTATTTTTTACTTGTTGTTGATGACTATAGTCGATACATGTGGTTAGCTGTGCTGAAATCCAAAGACGAGGCCTTCAGTTCTTTCAAGAAAATTCAGAATATGGCTGAAACTGAAGGGAGATGCAGGCTGCGTGCGTTTCGGTCCGACCGGGGCGGCGAGTTTAACTCCGGCGACTTCATGGATTACTACAGCAAGCACGGCATCAAACACTACACGACCGCGCCGTATTCGCCACAACAAAATGGCATGGTCGAGCGGCGTAATCAGACTGTCGTCAAGATGGCGCGGTGTTTACTGAAGAGCATGGGCATGCCCGCTGTGTTCTGGGGCGAGGCAGTGAGGACGGATGTGTACATTCTCAACAGATCACCGACTCGCAGCCTTGATGGTGTCACGCCGTATGAAGCATGGCACGGCCGGAAGCCGAACGTGCAACACCTGCATACATTCGGCTGCACAGTACATGTGAAGAAGCTCGGACCAGGGGTGACCAAGCTCACTGATCGCTCAACTCCCATGGTGTTTATTGGCTATGAGGAGGGTGCCAAATGTTATCGCGTCTACGATCCAGTGGCGAAGAAACTTCAGGTAACTCGTGACATTTTATTTGAAGAGAACAGGCCATGGAACTGGGATGAGCCGGACGCGTCCGCGGCGGCGTCCACGGCAGCAACGTTCACGGTGATTTATACCACCGGCCCCGGTGAGCACGAGCTGGACTCCGGAAGCGCCTCGAGTCCGCAGGCGAGCGGTAGCACGGTGTCACCCTCTACACCAACTCTTGGGTCACCACGGTCACCCGTGTCGCCGAGCCCTGGGAGTCCGCGGTCACCCATGCCGCCGGCTTCATCCACAACCGAGGGCGTGTCTGCTACGCCTACGCCGGCCCACAGCATGGGCTGGGCCACGCCACCAACACATGACGACGCACGGGATGTCGACTCCGGGCCCATTCGTTATCGGCGTCTCGAGTATATACTCGACGAGACCGAGGATGCCGCTGTTCGGGAGTTTGACGAGCGCTGTCTTCTCAGTGCCGAGGAGCCGTGCAATGTTGACGCAGCTCTCGGCGACACGTCCTGGAAGGCCGCCATGGATGAAGAAATGCGCTGCATCAATGAGAACCAGACCTGGAAGCTAAGCACACTTCCGGCTGGGCACAAAGCCATTGGTTTGAAATGGGTGTTTAAGGTGAAACGTGATCCAGCAGGAAACATTGTTAAGCACAAAGCACGCCTGGTTGCCAAGGGTTATGCTCAGCGAGAGGGGGTGGACTTTGATGAGGTTTTTGCACCAGTTGCCCGGATGGAAACAGTGCGTGTGTTGCTAGCTCTCGCGGCACATTCCGGCTGGGAAGTTCATCACATGGACGTCAAGTCGCGTTCCTAAATGGCGAGCTTGGCGAAGAGGTTTATGTTGCCCAGCCACCTGGGTACTTGGTCGTCGGCAAGGAGGACCGAGTGCTCAAGCTGCACAAGGCACTGTATGGTATGCGAAGCTGGACCGATCTTTGACAGAGCTGGGCTTCACACGTAGCCCGTTGGAGCATGCAGTGTATAGGCGTGGTGATGCAACCTCATTCCTTTTGGTTGGAGTCTATGTAGATGACCTCATCATCACCGGGACGGACGTTTCTGCCATTGTGATGTTCAAGCAACAAATGCAGCAGCTGTTTAACATGAGCGACCTCGGACTCCTAAGCTACTATCTAGGGATCGAGGTGTCACAATCAGAAGGCCAAATCAAGTTGCATCAGCGAAGCTATGCCGCCAAGATTCTGGAGGCTGCTGGCATGAGTGAGTGTAATGCTTGTGCTACACCTATGGAGAACCGTCTGAAGTTGAAAAAAAAAGATGGTGGCGAACCGGCCGATGCCACTTTGTACCGGAGTGTGATTGGGAGCCTACGTTATCTTGTGAACACTAAACCCGACATCACATTCGCTGTTGGGATCACCAGCCGGTTCATGGAAAAGCCTAGCTCACACCATTGGGTGGCTGTCAAGCAAATTCTCAGATACATAAAGGGAACAATGGACTATGGGTGTTGTTATAAGGCTGGCCATGGAGAAGTAGCACTTGTTGGTTACAGTGATAGCGACCATGGAAGTGACATCGGGGATCGCAAGAGTACTTCTGGGCAGATCTTCTTTCTCGGTGAGAATCCAGTGACTTGGTGCTCGCAAAAGCAAAAGATCGTGGCTCTCTCTTCTTGTGAGGCCGAGTACGTCGCAGGAGCAGCAACAGCATGCCAAGGGGTGTGGCTATCACGGCTCATAGGAGATATGCTAGGCAAGCCAACGGCCAAGTTCAAACTGCTGATCGACAATCAAGCCGCCATTGCACTGAGCAAGAATCCTGTTCATCATGACCGGAGCAAGCATATTGACATCAAGTTCCATTTCATACGGGACTGTGTAGACACCGACAAAGTGGAGGTTAGTCATGTCCGTACACAGGAGCAACTCGCCGACGTGCTGACAAAGGCGTTGGGGCGGGTGATCTTCGTCGAGATGCGGCAGAAGATTCGGATGATCAAGGTGGAGCTGGAGCGCTGAGTCTATGGGGGTGAAATGTTGGATAAACTCATCGTTGTTTCCTTGTTCAGAATAATATGGTGCATGGCCGATGTGACATCTGCATGCACGTAGCTAGTATACCGGGAGTGCTTGTAGCACGTCCAGGTTGTTTTTTATTTGCTCATTTCTTTGTTTTAGTCCTCCGGTTACTAAGGGCATGTACAATGGTCGATAAGGTAGTCTTATCTTAAATCTTGCATGTAATTTAGAGATGACAAAAAAACATGTCTACAATGGGTCATCTCTTAGCCTTATCTTCAATAACTAGTTATTCCTAAAAACATGGTGAGACATATTGTGCTAAGAGATCATCTCTTGCCTTCTCTTAATTAAGAGAAGACAAGCCTTCTCTTATGATTTCTCTCTCCTCCACCTCATCATTTATCTTACGTGGCATTGCTAAGATAGAACCATTGTACATGCCCTAAGACACACGGATGCAGTCGTGGGATGGCATGGCATCACGCAAATCATGGGCAGTCTGACCGGAGGTTTGTTAGCTGAGATCCATTGTAATCGAGCTACACTTTAAAAGGAATAACTGAAAGACTCGCGTAGGTTCAGGCGAGGCAAATATACTACTGTCTCCCGTTCGTCCTCGCTTGTTCTTCTCTCTCTCCGGCGATCTAACTCGCCACTCCGGCAACTACACAATCCAAGGTCTACGAGGAATTCAAAGACAAGACAGAGGTCGACGACGGGGACCTGCAGTCGACGCCGTACCTAAAGGCCGTGGTGCTTGAGGGGCTCCGGCTGCATCCGTCGGGCCACTTCCTCCTCCCGCACGGCGTGCAGAGCGACGGCGCGGAGGTCGGGGGGCACGCGATGCCCAAAGGCGCGGAGGTCAACTTCCTGGTCGCCGACTTCGGGCGCGACGAGGCGGCGTGGACGGCAGCGAATGAGTTTCGACCGGAGCGGTTCTTGGAGGGCGGAGAGGGGTACGGCGTGGACCTCACGGGGAGCAGGGAGATCAAGATGATGCCTTTCGGTGCTGGCCGCAGGATGTGCCCGGGATACACGCTTGGCATGCTGCACGTGGAGTACTTCGTCGGCAGCCTCGTGAGGGAGCTGGAGTGGCTTCCGGCGGTGGAGGGGCAGGAGGTGGACATGACCGAGGAACTGGATTTCACCACCGTGATGAAGCATCCGCTCCGTGCTCGCGTTGTCCCGAGGCCTTGATCAAGTTACTAGCAACTGTGATTCTGATAGATTCTAAAAGAAGAGTCAAAATCAGTCATGGCGTTTGCGTGTCCTCTAAGTGTGTGTTACAAAAGTCAGCCATGGAATGTCATGATTTCTTTCCAGAGAATGGGTTGGTTTTTTTTTAGAGAAAAGGCAGGAGCCCGACTTTATAAATAAAGCCACCAGGCAGAGTTACAGCACCAGCAACCGACATCCAAACAAGTTAAAACACCAAGGAAATTAAGTAGCATTATAAGGCCACCAGCCTCACATGGCACGCAGGCCAGCATAGAACTAGATACCACCAAAAGAGACGATCAGAAAGCCGTCCTCAAAGATCGCCGAAGAAGGGCAGACGCCGTAGATTTCATCTTAGATAGCATGGCGTCGAAAGCCTGGAGGTCCCCATCTTTAGTCAATAATCTCCACTGCTGCAAAAAACCATTGGCTTTAAATAAGCAATTGACAGGGTTAGCCGGAAAGATACGCTCAATCGAGAACTTATTCCTAGTTGTCCACAACCACCACCCTATCGCAGCCCAGCCAACTAAGAAAACCCTTTTAGATTGTCCAGATAAAAGATTGACACACTGCCTCAGGTCTTCAAAGGAGGAGGGGGACCAGTTAACATGTAGCCAGAGTCTGATACAACACCACATAAGTTTCGCTAAGGAGCAATGAAAGAAAATATGTTCGGTGTTCTCCAGAGCCCCACACAACACGCATCTATCGGAACCCGGCCCGTTCCTTTTCTTAATCTGGTCAGCCGCCGAAAGCTTACCGCGAACAGCTTGCCAGAGAAAGATCTTGATCTTAGGTGGGATTCGAGCCGACCAGATATCTTTGAACTTGACCGAGTGTCCACCAGAGACAAGCTTAGAATAGGCCGATTTAACCGAGAAGCGCCCCGAGGAGGAAAGGGGCCACACCACGGAATCCTCTTCCTCCGAGAGCAAGGGGAAGCAAGCAGTAAGGCGCTGCCAATCTTCCAACTCTATAGGGGAAAGAGAACGCCGAAAATCTAAAACCCATCCCTTAACCGAGAGCTCAAAGATAGAGATCTCAGCATCATCACAGTAGGAGAACAAGGCCGGAAAGGCAGCCGCCAGCGTAGAGTCCCCGACCCACCAATCAAGCCAAAACCGAGTGGACTTACCGTTCCTGACAACGAACTTGACAAGGGACCAAAAAATCGGCCGGACTTTAACCAGTTGACGCCAGAATTGAGACCCACCAGAAGCAGGAGCAAACATAGGACTCGAGGAGGGGAAGTATTTAGCTTTTAGGATCGAGAGCCAGGTTGGGAGTTCCTCAAGAGTCATGATCTTCCACCACCATTTGATCAGGAGACAGTTATTCATAACTTGCGTATTAATAATGCCAAGGCCCCCTTTGTCCTTGGGGCAAAAGATAATGTCCCATCTGACCAGCCTATATTTGCGTTTATTATCCGCAACGTTCCAGTAGAAAGCACCCCTATGCTTGTCGAAACCAGAATGAACCCCATTAGAAAGAAGATAGAAGCCCATCAAGAACATTGGAAGTGAAGAAAGACAGGAGTTGGTAAGGGCGACCTTGCCCGCTTGCGTATTATATCGACCTCGCCAAGGTAACACTCTATTGCCAACTTTGGTGACCACCGGGGCGAAATCTTTCGCCAGGAGCTTAAACGGGGAGATGGGAAGGCCTAGATACTTGAGAGGAAAGGACCCAAGAGAACAATTCAGAAGGTGGGCCACCCGTTGCGCCTCCAGGTCCGAAACCCCAGTCACAACGACCTCACTCTTGGAAAAATTGATTTTAAGGCCTGAAAGCGCTTCAAAGCAAAGCAGAAGGAATTTCAGATTGGTGAGACTGTTCTCATTGAGCTCCATCAAAATGATAGTGTCGTCCGCATATTGAAGATGAGAGATGCCATGAGGGATAAGGTGAGAGCTCACCGGGGTAATATGTCCGGCCAACGCAGCCCGAGAAAGAATACGAGATAAAGCATCGGCCACAAAATTGAAAAGCAAAGGAGACGCTGGATCCCCTTGTCTGAGACCCCTACCATTAGCAAAAAACTTACTAGTTTGACCATTGACAGCCACAGCCGTGTGTCCACCAGAAACCAGCTGCATCAGGCGGTGCATTACAGGACCCTCAAAACCCTTAGCCAGAAGGACTTGCCGGAGAAAGTTCCAACTCACCGAATCGTAAGCCTTCTCAAAGTCAAGCTTAAGGACCACCGCCTTGGTCCCTTGAACCCGCAAGTCGTGGATTATCTCATGTAAACAGAGCACCCCGTCCAAGATGAACCTCCCTTTGATGAAAGCAGACTGGAAAGGGCTAATGGTCCGATGCGCTATGGGAGACAGCCTAGTGGCCATGCCCTTAGCAGGCATCTTGGCAAAGTTGTTGATTAAAGCAGTAGGCCTAAACTAGGAGATGAGATCAGCGCCCTTGATTTTAGGGATGAGGGTGAGGACAACGTAGTTAAGTCTAGAAATGTCAAGAGTGCCCAGCCAAAACCCTTGGATGACTGCAGAGATGAGGCCTTTTAGTTGGGGCCAGAACTGTCGAAAGAAAGGGATGGAAAAACCATCGGGGCCTGAAGCCGCATTAGAGTTGGCAGTCCGAATAGTGTCAAAAATTTCCTCCTCAGAGGGGGGAATAAGCAGGAGCTCATTATCAGCGGGCGAAACCCGCTCAAGGGGGGCCCAGAAGCCCGGGGCAAGCGAAAATCCGAGGTCTGGTTTAGCCGCAAGCAGATTAGAGAAGAATTGTACCACGTGCCGAAGAATGGCCGATGGGTCCGAGACCCTAACACCATCAATTAGGAGACTATCGATCAGGCATCTACGCCGTCTACCATTCGCAATGGCGAAGAAGTAAGCCGTGGGCGCATCACCCTTAAGGGTCCAATTAATCATGCCCCTTTGCTTCCAATAAACTTCCTCCTGGCAGTGAATATCCAGAAGCGCCTTCTCAAGGCCATACCGGACTTGCCACTCGGCCTCCGAGTGCCCACCATTATCCGCACGATTGTCAAGAGCGCTAATTTGGGCGCCCAGCCTAACTTTATCGCGCCTAGCCTTAGCAAAGTGGTTCTTAGACCATCCCCTAAGAAATTTGCGAAGGAAGTGCAAAACATGGTGCCAATCATCCATAGGACCAAAGGAACGGTGGGGAGAGATTAGACAGTCCAAGATCTTCTGAGCCAACATACTGGGAAACCCCTCCACTAATAGCCAGGACGCATCAAATTGGAATCTTTGGCAGCCACTGGGACGAAATCCGTCGTCGAGGATAAGGGGAGCGTGATCAGAGCCAACAATGGGGAGGGCACGAAGTGAGCACCGAGGAAAGAAGCCATCCCAAGCAGGGTAGATAAAAACTCTATCAAGAATCGAACGGATAGGTAACGCCTGTCGATTAGTCCAAGTGTAACGGGCCCCGACCCTCGGAATTTCAGGAATAGCCGTATCCCTGATGAAGGCATTAAAGGCCTCAGCCAACACCCAAGAAAAATTGGCGGAGCTCTTATCAGAAGGGTATCTTAACAGGTTAAAGTCACCCCCAATCGAGAGGGAAGCTGACAAGAGTCTATTTTAGTAAAAATCTCATCCAAAAATATTTGAGACAGGGAGTGATCAGCCGGACCATAGACCACCATAAGTTCGAGAAGGGTATTGTTGCAATGGAGGGAAACAACCACACTAGCCCAGCAAATGCCATGGTCAAAAGCAACAAAATCAAAAGTATCATTATTAGTGCCCAGGAGAAAGCCACCTGACTGGCCAACGGAGGCCACAGAATTCCACCTGAATCTGTCAATCCCAGCAATAGACGAAAGTTCAGAAGGAGAGAAGGATGGTTTTAGGGTCTCAACAAGACCGATAAAATCAATTTTTTCGGCTCGCACTAAATCCTTGAGTTGGTCCCTGCGCCCCCTAGCGCTGAACCCTCTGATGTTCCAAAATAAAGCCTTCATCTGAAGGAGAGGTTTTTGATTCTAAGACTCGACCTGCACGGAGCCTTGCAGGTTTTAGCACGTTTCCCAGCCCCGCGTTTCTGAACCGGAGGAACCTGACCCCTGTCAGCCTCCTCCAGTGCCCCTCCGGCCACAACCAGAGGGGCAGACACCCCAGCACCAGCCTCCTTGGCCTTTGCAATGTCAGCCTGGGCTCTCTCATTAGCACGGATCATCTGCAACAAAGAAGATGGGGAACCCAAGCTAGTGTCTAAACAAATCCCCACATCATCTAATATCGTAAAGAGGTGCTCATCAGATTGAGAGGGTAAAACTAGTCTAACAGGGGACGAGGCCAAAGAAGGGGACGGAGATGGGAACGAGCTCGAACCTGTGGGGGGAAGATCACGCGCCGCCGCACGCCGAGCCGCCCGATCCACCACGCGCTCGCCACTATTGGAGACACGGCCACTTTTGCGTGCGGTAGAGGCAGGGGAGCGAATAGGCACAGGGGGGCCCGACTAGGAGAAGCAGCAGCCGAAGACGGGCCCGAGGCTGCCCCCAGATCCACCTCCAGACGGCGACAGAGCCCAGCCGTGGACTGCCTGGAGTCCCCAGAGGCCCTGCTCTTCGCGGAGAACTTCTTCACCGAGGACTTCTTCCTCTTTTTGGCCGCCGAAGGACCCGCCGGTGGTAGGTCTTCAATGCCAGACAGCGAAGGGGAGGTGGGGCGAGCGGGAAGGTTGGAGCACGCCGCCGATAGGGGGGTGCCCTTCGATCCACCCGCAGCCGCAGGCCCACCCTCCACACCTGGCACCGAGCCCTGAACCCCACCACCCGCCGGAGCCGGAGCACAATCCTTCATCAGTTCTTGCTCAGCAGGAGAAAGCCCATCCCACGCAGACTGGGTGAAACGAGGATCCGTACCATGCAACGAATCCTCAAGGCCCCCACCACCCTCCTTGCT